AATTTTACTTTTTTGACCGAGATATTTTTAATCTTCAATATTTTATCTTTAAAATGATCTAAATCTCTCCTTAAAATTTAACCGGGAACATATTTCTTTTCAGCGTCGAGTAATAACAGTGCCTACGTGAAAATGTCCAGTGAACAGAAATGTTGGAAACGGCTGTCGGACTTCAACGTTAATCGAGAAACAGTGGTCGCTTTGTTGAAGGACGAGAATTATACCGGTTAGTTCTCATATTTTATGCTTTAAACTTTTTTTAAGCTTTAGAAATTAGGAAAATAAAAGAATTTGAATAACGATAACGCAAATAAATTGGGGCAATAGGGGGTGGGGCATAGATATATATGTAAGTTTATCGTAAAAAAGGAACCGAAATAGGGAAGTTTCAATGAGACTTAAGTGTCAGGTCAATAAACAAAGGGTTCTGGTTCATTTTATAGCAAAGATACTAATTATTTTTATAGTTTATCAGAAGCTTGTCACTGATTATAAGATAATTTCTAAAATTTAAACCTAGATCATGCACATGTTACTTTAATATACCTATCTTCAGGTAGAGGAAATTCCCTACATAAATATGTTTCAAATTTAGCAACGGATATCAAATCCACACTTGAACAGGGTGTTTTTATGTTAATTTTTACATAAAATTAAAAAAAATAATACTGCATCATTTTGATAAATGTATGAATCATGTTCCATGGCAGTAGAACCTTTTTTTTGTGGTCCCTTCCTTGTGTTTTTCAGCTTAATGGATATTTAGAATTGTTCGAACATCTAGAATGTCAGCAAATTTGGACGATGTAGCCTTTAATAGATGTTGCATTGCTGGATGATGAAACTATATGAGTGAACTCATTGCTTGACAAGTCAATATATGATAATGACATACCATCGCAGAAATAGAAACCATACTTATCTCTTACCATCACCAACCAATGATCATGATGTCATATTATTTTCACCATCGCTGGACGATGACAATTTAGACCATGATATATTTGTAACACGTACCTGATGAAATAATAGGTGAGGTATTTTAAACAGTAGAATGTTTAACAAATGGGCACATATGTGGGGTATATGTTCATGAGACAGCAACAGATTAACTGGCAAAGTTTTTAATATACTTGTTTATTTTTGGGTACGATTATTATTTCAGATGGTTGGTCGTTAGAGAAATTAAAGAGCCCAATTTGGAAAGAATTTTATTTCTGGGATGCAGTCATTAAAGTTGTTGAAGAAGAAGAAGAAATGTCAATTAAAGAGAATTTACCAATAGCTTTTAAGAACTTTGATATTTTAATTACTTCTGTGTCATCTTTTGTAAGAAAAATTAGAAACAGAATGGCTCTGATTTTAAAACGCATTGATGTTACTTTAGGTTATGATGTAGTTTTTGGAAATGAAAATTTTAGTGAAGTAGGGCCCTATTGTATGAAATATGGAATTTCATTACAATGGTTAAAGAACCCCTCTAAGTTGGAAGGTATTTTGAATTTACCAATTGGTTTAATTGTAGAGTTACGAAAACTCAGACTCCGACACAATTTCACTTTTAAAGATTTTTCTGTTTGGATACAATTAATGTTGGGTCTCGATTATTGTCCTGATGTCGGTTTTTTGAGGAGACAAATGGAAAGTTTTTATAAAAGGCAGCTAGCTCTATATAAAAACAGTAAAATAGATCAAGACATGTACTTGGATAGTATATATGTACCCCCCAAAACCAAATATAATGCTACAGGGAAAAATGAAGGTGAAGGCCTTCAACAAAGGCGTCCTTGTTTAAACACTGTAGATGGAGAGAAATGTATGTTGAAAAAGAATGTACAAAATCTTGAAAACAAACTGAAAATTGCTAGGCATGCAAGAATGAATGCAAATGTAAAATTAAATGAATTAAAGAAGAGCAATGTGAAACTGAATAAAAAATATGCTACATGCTGTATAAAACTGTCCAACTTTTCTACAAGAAATGTAAATAAAAAGCCAAAGCAAAGGCAAAAGAAAATAAAATTTCTTCAGTCAGAAAATAGCAAGCACATTACAGAAAAAAATGTAATAAAACAGAAGTCAGAAATAAGCAAACAAATTCATAAAAAAACATCATCACTATTGAAATATTACCGCGACAAGTATAGAAATTTGAAAAAAGCTAAAGTCACTCAAAATTTAACACAAAAACATGCAACAAGGAAAACATTGAGGTTTCTTCACTTAGAGAGAAAGTTTCATATTTAGAAAATGAAAATTTTATTCTCAAAGATGAGTTGGAAGAACTTTCACAATCAAAAATGGTCACTACATTTCATGAAGGTAAATACACAGATGATGTACGGGAGGTGTATGCTACATTGTTATCTATGAATGTAGGCATGAAAAACATAGAAAATGTCATAAAAACAGTTTTAGAAAAACTTGGAGGTTTAAAAGTAGAAAGGCTTCCCAAAAAAACCTTTGCAGAATATATGATGGTTGAAGCTAAGGCATTAGCTCAAATTCAAGCTGCAGAAGCTATGTTAAATAGTAATTTTAATACGTTACATACAGTTGGGACAAAGCGTATGGGTAGGGAATTTGGGGGGCTTCAAGTTGGTACCGATTCCAGGCAACTCTCTTTAGGTATTTCGGAACTTGTGAGTGGCAATACCGAAAGCTTTTTAAATATGATTGACCAAATTTTAAGTGATATGGGTAGTTTATTAGAAACTGATGAGGATATAGCTGTAAAGAAGGCAAAACTACTTTTGTCAGTCAAAAATTTAATGACAGATCGTCATATTGTAAATACCTGTTTGAAAAATTGTCTAGAAAAAATGCGTTTTGAGTGTATACCGGAAGATGGGGATACACCGGAGGAAGTTAGAAAAAAAGTTGCTAAAGTTAAATGGTTTTAAATGTAATTTGCATGTTATTGTAAATTTTGCTTCCCAGGCAGAAATTGGCCTTAAACAATGGGAAAAAATATTTCGAATTTAGATAATGTTGAAGATAATAATGTTAATTTTACTTATAATCAGTCAACAACTGATTTTATTAGAGCTTGCTGCAAACTTTGTGTACCAGGTGCTGATGAAAAGTCTGGTTACGGTTCATTGTTTCGAACATTTTTGAGTGATAACATTGATCTTAAGTTGACCACTTTTCACGGTCATCGTATTAATTTGCTTTTTGCTATGGGTGCATCTGTGTTTTTTCACAAAGAAAATATTTATGAATTTTTTTATTTGTATTTTGAAAAGAGAATAGAAATAATTTATTAAAAGCTGTTGCTAATTATGTTAAAAAACCAATGTATTTGGCTGGTTGTCGAGCTTTTGGAATAGTTGACAAGTTATTTACTGGTCCTTTGTGGCGTATTATAGAAAATGCAGATCATATCTTAGATTTAAATCAGGTGTGGGAACAATTGAAAGGTTTTTTAGAGATTTATTCTCAAGATGCTACTGATTTAGTCCAAGGAAAAATATTGTATAAAAACTATACTAATATTGATGAAATTTTTGGTTGTTTATTTGCTGTTGAAGACGAAGAACTCAACATTCTTACTACTGAAGCTCTTCAAATTATTTTATTAAACTTTCAGTTGATTCTAGAGAGAAACTTAAGTGACTGTCTTCCTGGAGGAATATTAAATGAAAAAACTGATGGGATTGATATAAATTTAAGAGAACAAAGCAAATCAGTTGCTACTACTTATATTATTTCGGAAAGAGATTTTGCAAATTTAGACAGGCTTCAAAGGGAAAAACCAAATGCCAATTTAATTGCACTGGAAGGTATTATTTTGTTTGCTAACAACAAAACAGTTAAGTGGTTGAATAATTTAGAAAGTGAAAAAAAATCTGAATATTTTAAAATAGCAAGACACCGTACACCAGAGATCATTAAACAGTTTAAAGAAAGAAAGATTGAAATAAAAAATCAGCATTTATTATTACTTAAGAAAAGAGAGGCAGATAAATTAAAAAAACAATTGCAAAAGCAGCAAGAAATTGAAAAAATTTCAAAAGACATTCAGAACATAGGTCGTCTTTGGCAAAATATTGAAGACATTAATAAATTTTTAGTTAACTTAACTCAAAATGAAAAGATTGAAGCGGTAAAAACTCAACTTAAGTTTAGGAAAAATGTTTTACACATGAATGTTGAAGATAAAACACTTTTACAATTTTCTTCTAATAATATTTCATTTTCTTTAGCAGAGCTTATTTCTAATTTGAAAGTTCTTATACATTTGAATATTAATGTGAACAATGCACAATCTGGAACCAAAGATGCATGTATTATTTTTTGTATCAAATCAAAAGAAGAAAGGGAGCAAATTATGGAAAAACAAAGAGAACTCATTTGTATAAAGCTCAATGAAATAAAAATTAAACAGAACCATTCAGTCTGTGAGCCAGTACAGAAAAAACCAAGAAAATCAAACAGTAATAAAGCTAATTATCAGAGTCAAAATCATGATAATGTAGAAGAAACTGATTTTGTTGTTAGCAAACCTTCAGAAACATATACTCCAAAGTCCATAGCTTTGAAAGCTGGACAGTATGTAGCTGTAGCATATATTGATACCTGGTATCCAGGTCAAATTTTATCTGTTAAAAATGATTTACTGGTTCAGGTAAAATTTTTGTGTCCATCCCAAAATATGGGCAATTTGTTTAAATGGCCACAAAAAGATGACATTAGTGTTGTGGAAAATATTTTTATTTTCTGTTCAGATTTCGAAGTTAACGCAAAAGATTCGGGTGGAAGAACTTGGGTTTTAACAAATTATGATACTATTTGTTCTGAATATAAGAAATATTACAATACCTATTTTGTCTAGGGTTTATGAAATCATGTGTTTACATGCTATGTCATATATTTATGTAAACAGATATCACAAATTTCTGTGTAGTAGTCATATATATTTCTTACTATTGCTGCTAATATTACTATGATTTAATATAAACTTTATCTTAATAAATAAGTATAGCATATTAATAACTTTGGTTTTTATTTCTTGTGATGTTTTAGTCTGGATCCCATAGATGTAAGCTTGACCAGCAATTGCATTGTAAATTTGGAAAAATGTCATGGAATGGTAACCTATCAATAGAACCTTGAGGAATCTCGGACTCAGTAGTGGTCAGTGATGCACTGATGGTACAACTTCAACAGAATTATCCAATTGATGTGTTATTGATGAAGAAAATGATGATGCAGGCATATAACAGTGCTAGTAGTGAATTTATTAGAGCTGTTTAAAAAATAAAATACATTATATGATGGATTTTTTTTTCATGAAATCATCAAATATCACATGTATCAGGCATAATTTGTTTCAGTCGATGAATCAATAACATAATGACATTTTATTATTTGGCTCCAGTAACATCCAGTGGCAAGTATTTCAAGCATATTCAGGATGAAATATACAACATGTAAATGCATAATTTAATTTGCCATGTGCATGTTTTTTACAAATGAACTCAGTCTCAGGATGGGTAGTCAATTCCTGTTGCCAGTATGAGAACTTGTGTTTAGATATTTAGTTGAATACCAATACTACAAAACTCAGCTGAAAAATGAGAGAATAATGAAGATAAAACATAAATCTTGATGTAAAACTTGGGATTACCTTCAAATGGGAGCCATTTTGGAGTTCAACTGTCATAATTCATTCAAAACCTGATACCTTGTATTAAAACAAACAATTTGATACCAACATTGCAAAAATCAGTTGAGAGATGACTGAGTATTGATGAAAAATTTTTAATCGAAACAGAAAAACTCCGAAATGGGAGCCATTTTGAATCAAAATGGCTACCATTTTGAGTTGTATTGTCACAATTCATTCCAAAATTGGTACCTTGTGTTAAGACAAACAATTTGATACCAGCATTGCAAAAATCAGTCAAAAAATGACAGAGTAATATGACAAAAAGCATTTAATCAGGATAGAAAATCTAGAAAACGGGAGCCATTTTGAATCAAAATGGCTACCAATTTGAGCTGGATTGTCCCAATACAATAAAAAATTGGTACCTTGTATCAAGACAAACAATTTGATACCAGCATTACAAAAATCGGTCAAGAAATATGAGAGAAGGACTAAAAAATGTATAAATTTCAATCAAAAGTTATGAAATTTGCAGCCATTTTGATTAAAAATGGCCGCCCTTCTCGCTCTTTAAGGTACAAAGAAATAACCATCACATGCATAGAAGACTGTTTTAATCTCATGAAAAATTTCATGAACATATCTTTAGTAGTTTATGAGATATTTCCATTTTAGTGCTACCATTGGACACTACAATACTTATTGTTGTAATATTGACTTCGGTGCCATTCATCATTTTAATGTCAAAGAGGCTGGGAGTGCTAACTGAGCCTTATTTTTTTTTTATGTCCTTCAACCTACTTGTCCAATTTTTCATAATTGTACCATTTGTGATGAGTTGCAGGATGAAATCAATCTATAATGTTATATGCATACCATCATTTTTGATAATTGATAGAGCTATATGGTTATCGTGTCCTATTATGCAAGGCAGAAAACAGCACTTTATGGAAATTTGTATGGCTGTTAAATTTTTTGAGAGCAAATCATGGACAACTCTGAACTGTATTATAATAGAATACACTGGATATCTTGGATAAAAAAGGGGGGATGACTTGGAAACTTTGAACACTCGTAACTTTTGAACCATATATCTGATTAAGACAAGTAATAGCTCAAAATGTTTGTCTTAAGGAGCTTTATCCAATAACATACATAAATGACAATATATTCCCTGTAAATAAATAGGCCTGGCCTCTCTACTTTAATATTAGTCTTAAAGAAATACTGCAGCTTCAGTCATAAAGAAAAATTCGTTTGACATTAGTCTAAAATAAATTCTGCAGCATTAGTCATAAAGAAAAAAATTACTTTTATATTAGTCTAAAAGAAATACTGCAGCTTCAGTCACAAAGAAAAAAAAATCATACGGCTTCTCATACACTATTGTTTCATTCAATCTTAAATCATTTTTTATGCAGTGTTAGCCAAAGGAGTAGAGTCGATAAGGGTCATATTTGACCCCGATTATAAAGTTCAATGTAACAAGACAAAAAATGTTTTAAGTTGACAAAACTACATTAATTTAATATTTTTAAACCATCAAAATATTTAAAAAAAGTAATAGTGAATCTACGACACAAACTTTTCGTGTGCATGGTTATTCATGCGTGAAATTATGCGCAGTCGAATAGTCCCGATCCCCCTTAAAGACATGAGAAAAAGTAAAAAAGAACTCTTATTGTCAAAGTTTAATTCTATCACGTTGATTTTTCCATCCCAAAAAGGTCAAATTACGAGATTGTGGTTAAATTTGACAAAATCGGCTGGATTTCAACCAAATTTGGGACCAGGAAACATAGAGCACTGGCATCGACGAACTAAATATTCTAATAAGACATCTAAAATGTCTTCACAAACATTGTTTTATAAGATTTTTGCTGTCGACGTATGCCCTCTATGTTTCCTGTTCAGTAATCTATGAAAATTTGTTATCAACAAAAAGGCTTATTTCCTATGTAGTCACTGTATTAACTATAACTTTTTTTTGTGATATTGGTCAATAAAATTTTAATTTTGAATTTACTAAAAAAAAGGGGCCATTTTAGGACCTTAACGAGCCTACTCCTTTACTAATAAAATATTTGTATCTATGAAAGAATTTAGTAAAAGTTTTAAGTTATTTTAGTAACGAAATCTCCTGAACAACATAAATGTACGTTTCGGCGATAACGTCTTTCGAAATAAACTACAAGTACTCGCAAAGCGATTTTTGTTCTTCTGGCAGACAAAGCAGCCAATAATGTAGTGGTGGTGTTCGTTCCGGCAAACAAAGCAACCTATAATGTAGTGGTGGTGTTCCTACCTGCAAGTATTCATAAGGGCACTAGCTGCACCCCTTCAATGGCAGGTTTATTCCTGGTTGGCTATGAATCGCAGTGTATGACCACACTCAGTAAAGATACATCATTGTTACATTTGGTTTATTCATTCAACAAAACCTACCGTTATCTTGATGATATTTTTTGTTAAAAAATCCAGAGTTCTCGAAATATACTATCAACATTTACCCAAAGTAACTTACTTGAAATAAATCTAACATAAACAGCAGTAATTTTCCTTTTCTAGATTTAAACATTTCAATTTCTATTTGGGAAACTCGTTACCAAAATAAACGACAAAAGAGATGATTGCTCATTCCCTGTTTTCAATGTTCCTTTTTTGATTGGTGATGTTCCTTTGGCTCCATCATACGGTGTTCATATATCTCAACTCGTTCGTTATGCTCGTGTGTGTAGTAATGTCATAGTTTTTAACGAACGTAATCAATACATCACTGGTAAATTATTAAGTCAAGGATTTCGTTACCATATATATACCGTATTTGGCACAACATTTTGGAATTTTGGGTCCTCAATGCTCATCAACTTTGTACTTGTTTGGCTTTATACCTATTTTGATCTGAGCGTCACTGATGAGTCTTATGTAGACGAAACGCATGTCTGGCGTATTAAATTATAATCCTGGTACTTTTGATAGCTATTTACTTACAATTTTTTACTAAATTCTTTCATAGATACAAATATTTGATTAGTTCATTTGTAAATATTGTACTATACTCGCGGAAATTACTATCAACGAACCTTCAAACAAACTGATTGGTAAAGGTTACTTTACCAATGTTGTGATTATATTATCTTTAAATATATAGTTTACAGTGGCAGAAATGTCGATTGTGTTCTTGCGTTTGTTTGAACTGTATTTCTGTCTAGAATTTTTGTCATTTTAGCTGATTTAACATTGCTATATAACGGTAGGTTTGGCTAGCTATCAAACCATTTCAATCAACATTTGTTTTTAAATGTCCTGTACCAAGTCAGGAGTATGACAGTTGTTATAAAATGACATAGTTTCTATGTTTGTTGGTGTTTGTTTTTGTTGCAGTTCAGTATTTCTGATGTTCCGTTGTTTTCCTCTTATATTTCACGCGTTTCTATCGATTTAAGTTTGTAACCGGAACTGTTTTCGCTTCATCAGTTTACTATTGAACAGCGGTATACTACAGTTGCCTTTATTTAGGGGCAACATTAAACTCAAATAAGAAATATATTGACGATTTCTGTCATGTTGCTCTATTAGATTTACATGGATTGGCTAATGTCCCGTTAACATCTACTTCACAAAGACTATGAAAAATAGTAGAAGCAATCTTCAATTCTTTTCCTACTGTATTGCTAGCACAATTTACTTCACGGTAATATGACATGTATGAGTGTGGATCTCCACGACTATATTCACATCTAAATTCTTTTGATCCGGCAATAACGTCGACTGCAAATCGATCAAATCGATCAAGAGATTCTACAAAAGAAAGTTGTTAATTAGAAACACCACGTCCAAGAAGGACAAATAACAACAACGCCAAAATTAAAAAGACAAATTCAAGTGAAAAAAAAAACCGAACACAGAAGATTGAGCATTTTGAAGAGCACTAAAGATATATAATGACTAAGCAATTATTTAGTACCTTTATTATCTTCTTTCTATCTTTTATATTATTTTTCAATCCATAACGAAAGTGAAATAGTGGAAAAATAATTCCCTTTTAGCAGCCAGTATGGGCCAATTTTGTCAAAATAAGCTAAGAAACATTGAATATGAATTATTGACTTGCGAGTGAATAATTCGACCTCATTGAATCAGTATTCATGTGAACTTCAATTTAACTCTTTAGCTAGAGATTTATAACGCATGAATTGTGTGTGTGTGTTTGATTATTTAAAGGAAAAGAATGTCAACATTGAAAGTGAAACAAAGGTAAATCATTTGATTGACTGATTCGATTCTCAAAAACATCATTCTTATATAGGTAAAAATAGTTATCAACATATATTATTAATCAATAAATGAAATTAAGTAGACATAGAAGAATCCAGTTCCACGAGTTCCGCTATATCTTTATATCTATGTTCATATGTATATCGCTTATACGGGCATCGGTGGTCTTCGGGAGGTCAACTCGACAGTTAATTAGATGGAGTATAGACTAAAATACACACGAAACGAAACTTCATTATTCCCATGCCCTGTAAACTGTTTATTTCAGATTTTTTTAATTCGGATAAATGTTTTACATTGTTTTAAAACAAATATGAGAATTTGAGCCCAATCGGTGCATGAATTTGATAGCATGTGCCTCTTAAGCAAAATCGTTTCCTATTTTTACCATCTAATACTTGTATTTTTACAAAGTTATACCGACTTTTCTTACTTTCTTACTAGTTTATAAAAGTACCAGTTGATATCTTAGAAAAACCAGCAAAAAATGCATATCTATAGCAATCATCGAAGAGAATGAAGAACATAGATTATGCTTTAAAGCTTCTGCAAAAAGAATGTTTTATGAGTTTTGCCTTTCTTAAAAATTGGATGGAAACATAAAATTCAACGGACTTTTATCTTTCTTTTTTCCGTTTGATTGTAATTTTTAATGCGGGCATGATCATTAAAAATACTACCAGATTAAAACGATCAACTTCAGAGTAAATAGTTAAATTCTAATAAAAAGACATTTTTTTTCCAAAAAATAATTTGATACCGCAACATATTTATTTGTCAACCGACTTAATAAGCCATTAGTGGATGTGAATGACTTTAAATTAAAAACTCATACACACTCCTCAGTCTCCTTTATGTTTACCTTTTGTCATATTTGTGTGTGTTTTTCAATTAGATAGTATTTTTTTTTTATAAATTTACTGTTTGCAAAAGTACGAATTATTCTAAGTACTAAGGATTTTCTCATCAAATGCATAGATAACCTTAGCCGTATTTGGCACAACTTTTTGGAATTTTGGGTCATCAGTGCTCTTCAACTTTGTACTTGTTTGGCTTTCTTTACTATTTTGATTTGAGCTTCACTCATGGTGAGTCTTATGTAGACAAAACGCACGTATGGCGTATTAAATTATAAGCCTGATACCTTTGATAACTATTACCATGTCGCAATGTTCTATTGTAATGTTTTTTGTGTGTATTTCTCTGTCCGTTGTGTTCTTGCATTCATTTGTACTGTAGTCCTGTCATGTAATGTTATCATTTAAGTGTTATATTAAATATTGTCATAACAGCGGGAGGTTTGGCTAGCCGCAAAACCAGGTTCAACCCACCTTTTTTTCTTGAAATGTCCAGTACCAAGTCAGGAAAATAGCATTTGTTATATTGTAGTTCTTTTCTGTGTGTGCTGCATTGTCGTTTTGGTGTTTTGTTGCACTTCAGTTTTTCTGTTGTTTCGTTGTTTTCCTCGTATAGTTGATATGTTCACCTCAGTTTTAGTCTGTAACCCGAATTTTTTTTCTCTCAATCGTGTGTTTTTGTAAAGCAATAAGTGGATGTACATGACATTAAACACCCCTACACACTCCTTTATGTTTACCATTTCTCATATTTGTGTGGGTTCTTGTATAGCAATTAGTGGATGTACATGACATTAAAAAACCCTACACACTCCTAAATGTTTACCTTTTGTCATATGTGTGTGTTTTTGAATAGCAATTAGTGGTTGTGCATGATATTAAACACCCTTACACACTCCTTTATGTTTACCTTTTGTCATATTTGTGTGGGTTCTTGTATAGCAATTAGTGGTTGTACATGATATTAATCACCCTGACAGACTCCTTTATGTTTACCATTTGTCATATTTGTGTGTGTGTTTTGTATAGCAATTAGTGGTTGTACATGACATTAAACACCCCTACACACTTCTTTTTGTTTACCTTTTGTCATACTTGTGTGTGTTTTTGTTTGGCAAATAGTGGTTGTACATGACATTAAACAAACCCTACACATTTCTAAATGTTTACCTTTTGCCATATTGGTGTGTGTTTTTGCATAGCAATAATTGGTTTTACATGACCTTAAACACCCCTACACACTCCTGTTTACCTTTTGTCATATTTGTGTGTGTTTTTGCATAGCAATAAGTGGTTTTACATGACATTAAACACCCTACACACTCCTTTATGTTTACCTTTTGTCGTATTTGTGTGTGTTTTTGATTGGCAAATAGTGGTTGTACATGACATTAAACAAACCCTACAAATTCCTAAATGTTTACCTTTTGCCATATTTGTGTGTGTTTTTGCATAGCAATAAGTGGTTTTACATGACATTAAACACCCCTGCACACTCCTTTATGTTAACCTTTTGTCATATTTGTGTGTGTTTTTGTTTGGCAATAAGTGGTTGTACATGTGTTTTTGTTTGGCAATAAGTGGTTGTACATGATATTGAACACCCTTGCACACTCCTTTATGTTTACCTTTTGTCATATTTGTGCGTGATTTTGTAAAGTGGTTGTGCATGACAGTAAACATTCCTGCACACTCCTTTATGTTTACCTTTGGTCATATTTGTGTGTTTTTGTTTAACATTTAGTGGTTGTACATGACATTAAACACCCTTACACACTCCTAAGTGTTTACCTTTTGTCATATTTGTGCGTGTTTTTGTATAGCAAAAATAAGATGTGCATTACATTAAACATCCGTCAACACTTCTTTATGTTTACCTTTTGTCATATTTGAGTGTGTTTTTGTTTGGCAATTAGTGGTTGTACATGACATTAAACACCTTACACACTCCTTAATGTTTAGCTTTTGTCAGATTTGTATGTGTGTTTTGTATAGCAATAAGTGGTTGTACATGACATTAAACACCCCTGCACACTCCTTTATGTTTATCTTTTGTCATATTTGTGCGTGTTTTGGCATAGCGAAAACAAGATGTGCATTACATTAAACATCCGTAAACACTTCTTTATGTTTATCTTTTGTCATATGTGTGTGTTTTTGTTTGGCAATAAGTGGTTGTGCATGACATTTAACATTCCTGCATACTCCTTTATAATTACCTTTTGTCATATTTGTGTGTGTTTGTGCATAGCAATAAATGGTTGTACATGACACTAAACACCCTTTCACACTCCTTTATATTTACCTCTTGTCATATTTGTGTGTGTGTGTTGTACAGCAATAAGTGGTTGTACATGACATTAAACACCCCTGCACACTTCTTTATGTTTACCTTTTGTCATATTTCTGTGTGTTTTTGCATAGCAATAAGTGGTTGTAAATGACACTAAACACCTTACACACTCCTTTATGTTGACCTTTTGTCATATTTGTGTATGTGTTTGGTATAGCAACTAGTGGTTGTACATGACATTAAACACCCCTACACACTCCTAAGTGTTTACCTTTTGTCATATGTGTGTGTGTTTTTGTAAAGCAATTAGTGGTTGTACATGACATTAAACACCCCTACACACTCCATTTGTGTGTGTGCATAGCAATGAGTGGTTGTGCATGAAATTAAACACTTCTGCACACTCCTTTTATATGTTTAACTTTTGCCATAATTTTGTGTGTTTTGCATAGCAATAAGTGGTTGTACATGACTTTAAAGAGCCCTACACACTCCTATATGTTTACCTTTTGTAATATTTGTGTGTGTTTTTGTATAGCATTTAATGGTTGTACATGACCTTAAACACCCCAGCACACTCCTGTTCACCTTTTGTCATATTTGTGTGTGTTTTTGCATAGCAATAAGTGGTTGTACATGACATTAAACACCCCTACAGACTCCTGTTCACCTTTTATCATATTTGTGTATGTGTTTTGTAAAGCAATTAGTGGTTGTACATGACATTAAACACCCCTACACACTCCTTTATGTGTACCTTTTGTCGGATTTTTGTGTGTGTTTTGTATTGAAATTAGTGGTTTTACATAACATTAAACACTCCTGCACACTCCTTTATGTTTCCCTTTTGCCATATATATGTGTTTTTGTTTGGCATTTAGTATTGTACATGACATTTAACACCCTTACATACTCCTATATGTTTACCTTTTGTCATATTTGTGCGTGTTTTTGTATAGCAAAAATACAAAAATACAAAATTTGCAAATAGCAAAAATAAGATGTGCATTACATTAAACATCCGTCAACACTTATTTATGTTTACATTTTGTCATATTTGAGTGTGTTTTTGTTTGGCAATTAGTGGTTGTACATGACATTAGACACCCTTACACACTCCTTAATGTTTTGCTTTTGTCATATTTGTGTCTGTGTTTTGTATTGCAATAAGTGGTTGTACATAACATTAAACACCCCTACACACTTCTTTATGTTTATCTTTTGTCATATTTGTGCGTGTTTTGGCATAGCAAAAACAAGATGTGCATTACATTAAACATCCGTAAACACTTCTTTGTGTTTACCTTTTGTCATATTTGTGTGTTTTTGTTTGGCAATAAGTGGTTGTGCATGACATTAAACATTCCTGCACA